AGCAAAACGATCAAGAGTAGAACCCTGAAGCAACTTGCCAACTTTCGAAAAAGATATATGAAGTAATGAGGAAATATGAGCCACGATCAAGCATAAAAGCCTAACATCCTCCTCCGTAATGCATACTTTTAGAGAAACCTCGGACATCCTACGCAAATCATATTATAGTAAAATTGTGCTCATAAGGTAGTTTTTATAATGGGTGAAACTTTTCGACTCATACATTACAGGCTATCCGAGGACAAACCCCCCTCAAAGGATTATTAATACACAAATCGGAGATGGCTGAATAATGGCCAGTATGGGAGACCAGAGTGGTATAAGACCCTACGCCTAACATGATATGGGCATTGAAATAAGTTGATAAAGCAAATAACATCCTGAATATGAGAAACTAGTGTAGAAAATTAGGCAGACTACCTATGGCTATTAGATAAAAATAATCAGGACGAGCCACCGAGTAAGAAGAAAATGATCGACTATGCTGAAGTTTGGTTTTGGCACCAGAATGTCAAAACTATTCATGACTAGTGCATACACACAGTGGACATGTATCCACAAAAATAAAGCAAGCGTCAGCAATATAGGATCATGAGCTAATTTATATACGTAAGGAAACAGCCTTTACCACATCAGTTTCCTTGGCATACATCAGCTTTACCCATTTGCAACCACCCTAAGAAAATATAAAGTAGCCAACTGTAAGAAGAAAACTAAGGATATGCAGTCCGGATTTTAGCATAGCAAGTTTCGTGGGCATGAGAACAATAGAGAACATAATCCAGAAAAAAAGAGATTTTATTAGTCAACCGACCAATAAGTGAATATCTGGCAAACAACTTTAAACAAGTAGTTGACATAAAAAAGTGGTATATACACATTCACGCATATATATATATGTATATAAGAATTGGAAAGAATTTTTGGCTGGCTTTCCTCATAATGCCATTCTTTGCGGGAATGAATGGATAGTATAGAATCAAGTTACAAGCCTTGCAGCATTTAGTGCAGTGCGAAAAGCACAAAAAGTCCGGATAAGGGAATAAGCACAAATCTTTAAAAAATACCAGTGACGAATTCGCACAATAAATATGGACGAAAACACAACGCAACTTGAGATTGTTAAAGATGAATTTGGATAACCGGGATATTTTACAGTCTTTGAAATGGATGCAGAGTAAAAATGAGGCAAAAGCATACAATTTAAGATACAAGAGAGGATGAAAAAAGTAACCAAAGCAGGGTCCTTTTCACGAAGAATTTTGATTGAAAGCAACCAACGAGATCCGGATTTTACTAATTCCCCTAGGCGAGCTAGGCAAAACAAACTAATATTTAACTCGATGGCTATTGTACTTTATACTATTAGACTTCTGGGATCCGGTTTCGCAATGGCAGCGCGCGCG